AACGCCTGGCTATTTTTAGAGACAGGGTCTTGCTCTTGCTCAGGCTGGTCTCCAATCCATGAGCTCAGGGAATCCACCTGTGTTGGCCTCCCAGAGTGCTAGGATTGCAGGCATAAGCCACGGCGCCTGGCCTGCATTTTGCAAAATTTTAAATTTTTATTAAACATAGTATACATATACAGAAACTCAAAAATCATTACAGATCAATAAATTGTTATCAAGTGAACACACACAGCTATACAACCACTATCCAGGTCAAAACTCAAACAGTAGCTGAAACCTCCATTTTCCCCCATGCCAGTCATAACTCATCTGTCTCAGCCTCCAAGGTAACTACTGGCATCTCAACTTGCAGTAACATGGGTTATGTTCTGCCCTTTTTTGAATTTCATGTCATTACAACATAAAGTTGTTGCTGTCTTAACTTCTTTCATCATAAATTACATAAGTTTCATTCATGTTGTGGCAGATGGCACAGTTTTTATTATTTTCATTTCTGTGCAGTATTCCATGACTACCTGACATACCACAGAGTACCTCTGTTTTATTTATAGGTATCTAGATTATTTATGAATAATGATGCTATGAACACCTTCCTATTGCATGTGCATTTCTGCTGGATATGTAGCTGGGAGTAGAACCAGTGTATCAGAGGAAATGCATATATTAGCTTCAAACCAGTTTTCAACAGCATAAAAAACACCTAGGAATAAATCTAATTAAAGATGTGTAAAAAGTCTAAGCAGAGCATTATAAAATATTTTTCTTTTTTTAAATTTTTTTTTTTTAAGGCAGAGTCTCACTCTGTAGCCCTTAGTAGAGTGCTGTGCCATCACAGCTCACAGCAACCTTAAACTCTTGGGCTTAAGTGATTCTCTTGCCTCAGCCTCCCAAGTAGCTGGGACCATAGGTGCCCGCCATAATGCCCAGCTATTTTTTTTTTTTTAGAAATGAGGTCTTGCTCTGGCTCAGGGCAGTTTTAAACTCATGAGTTCAGGCAATCAATCTGCCTCAACCTTCCAGAATGCTAGGATTATAGGGTGAGCAAACTGTGCCTGGCTGCATTATAAAATATTACTGAGAAAACTTAAAGATGAGCTAAATTAACAAAGAGATATACCATAGCATGGATTGGAAGACCCAATATTGTAAAGCGAACAATATTCCAAACTGATCTACAAATTCAGTGAAATCTCAACCAAATTCTAACAGAATTTCTGCAAAAATTGATGTGCTGACTCTGAGTTTGATTTATTATAGGTATGTAAATGGTTAAGAATACCCCCTTGGAGGACAAGGAAGAAGGATTTGTTCTGTTAGATATTAAGGTACAGTTGTTAAAGCAATGTGGTATTGGTGCAAGGATAAACAAATAGGCCAATGAAACAAAATATAAAATCTATAATCATTAGGGAAAGAACATTTTTTTTCATAGACTATGTAGGATCATCTAG